CACAACGCCAACAGCATTGAAGGACAAGTAATGATACGCCTCTGTATAGATCATTTGTATGTCTTACAAGAGCTGTGTGGGGATTTCACTGGAAACGAGTTTTTGCGCATGGGGGCTCTCCATTACGTTTGGGGCTGCTTTCGTTATGATAATGTACCATTTCCGTTCGAATGACATAAATAGTCATCGGAGGATTTGTCCAGTCATCACTCGAATACGATTGTGCATACTAACAATTGAAACGTAGTGAAGTAATTTGGTTTGAAACCTTTTTCAATTTCATTTGTAATTGGGTCTATTCGACCCTCCACCGCAACCTGCAAGGGTTAATTGTGGCTTACACTTATTCTCACTCGACCAAATAGACCCAGCTTCTTAACGAAGCCGAATATTTTGTTATGGTGAGTGGTCTTTCAGGTCAGATGGTAAGAGTACGGCTCTGATAAACTCTTAAAACCTGATTTGGCCCCCAGCGGGGCAGGCACAAAGTGTGTGCTCTGCTTTCATCATTTTCCAAACAGAGGCGACACACACTGTCTTCCGACACTCCGAGAGTCTTTTCATATGCTGATTCAGATGACAGTGACTTGTAAGAAGGCCTGTTAGACATCTTAGTTCATTCCTAATGTAGTCCAACAACTGTTTTGTATTAAGCTCCGAAGGGTGAATAAACGTCTTAGAGTGAGCCAATCCTGGAAGATTCTGCCAGAAGTTCATAAATTTTCTTGCGATCCAGGTGTTCAATCTTTGTTTGGAAAAGACTAAAGCGATGCCAATGAAAGGTTCTGGTCCGATAAAACTGCTTGCACCACCCTCCTTTGCAAGGGAGTCAGCAGCCTCATTGCCTTCCATGCCAGTAAGGCCAGGAACCCGGTAGAAGCCAAGAGCTTGCAACGCCACTTGACTGTACGAGAATATTTTTATTGACTTGTGTATGATGTTGGATTCTTCCAATCTCTCAATAGTGTAAATTTCCGCTTGAAATACAGTCGCATAAGTTCCTAGGCAGGTTGATATCTCTGTCCTTGGTCTGCGACAAAAAAACACCTGCACCAGAACCGGAAGGTGTTTTTTGATTCATCTGTGAACCAACAACTATATGCTCCTCCCTTAACTGTGTTTGAATTCTTTCAAAATTTTCAAGTGAATCACTTCCAACAGACAGCATCAAGCTGAAACTGATTTTTTACTTTAGTACTATAAAAATCATTCATTTTCAATATTTCATTCCAGATGCCTACACTTCCAAAGATTTGGTCTACAAATGGCAAAATGACGCCAGTGTAAACTTTGTACCTGGAATGGCTCTCTCTCAGTTCGACGTTATTAGTTTTCCTTACAGAAACTTCACTTTGAAGCGAAGAGAAGGTATTTTCGAATAATTGTCGATATTTTTATTACTTGAATTGCCTTCAACATTTCGTAGAAACCAAATACTAATATGACGTTTCAGGAGACTTTTCAGTACTTCAAGTTTCCTTCAATCTTCAACGCCATACAGGATACTTTCTTATTCAGGTTTATGTTCCTTGTATCCTCATCGTAGTTTTATCGTGGGTGTCTTTCTGGATTCACAGGGAAGCTACTAGCGATCGAGTAGGTCTCGGAATCACAACGGTTCTGACGTTGTCCACCATAAGTTTGGATTCTCGAACTGACCTACCTAAAGTGAGGTGAGTTTATTCCAGGACTACTTGTTTAATTGAGTATGTATCGTGAATACAGAATAATTTTGTTAGATAAGTTCAACTTACAATTTTAATAATCGATTGTGGACTCACAATAAATTGTGATGTTGTTTCCAGTCATAATAATTGGTAAAATTGGATATTGTTCAACAGATTTTTCGGATTTGTCCATGAACAACTATCAACAACAATTCTAAACACCTTCATCAACATAAATTGGCAGTTCACTATAACATGATCCATAGAGTATCAGTATACCTATGTCCAAAAAGACATAGGAATACTAAACTAAATTCAATCGAATCAATTGTAGTAAAGAACAACTCCAATCCGAACATAATTCATCGGATCCTCAGCAAAAAAACAATTCACACAGCCATGAAACAAGTAGAATACCCCCAAATTAAAAAAAATACCAGAAAATCATTAAAAAAAATAAAAGAACTACTAAATGAAGAGAACAGTAATATGGCATATAAGACTGCTAATACTTTGGAAAACATATAAAAAACAACAAACCAAGCATTGATAAGGACAATAAATCAGGTATCTACAAGTTAACATATGGATCGTACCCATAAATTCATATAGAAAAAACGTCTAAAAAGCAACTCCACCTATGCATGCCAATTTTTATAGAACAAATATGATTTCGACATAAACTATGACATATTACATACAGAAAATGAAGGTCAAAAATTACCTATTGAACGACCAACAAGAAGTAATCGATCACCCTCATTGAATTTGTTTTCATAAAAATTTCCTATAACCATGTAACAAAACAGCAACACCATGACGAGCGAGCTGGATAGGTTCCTGCACTTGCCACTAATATAAATAAAACTCGGGCGTTTTCCAACATTTTTAATTCCCAGCAGAAATATTGAAATTCCGTGAAAGTGAAAACTGCAAATTACATAAATAATAATCTTTTTATAGAACAGAGTAACAAATGATTTCACCTGCACCAGATTCGAGAAACCTCAATCAGAATTTTGATTTGGAAACTCATTCGTCCCGAGGATACATTCACTTCCCAGGAACTGCAAAACAATTGACAAGAAAACAACGTATTTCATACTATAAGAAGACCGACAAAAACTAGGCGATTTAATTCGAACACAATAGTCGATATTCAAATAGCAAAGGTATAGTATTTCCAATACCAATTGGAACAGCACAGAGAAGGAATTCCCGCCTCGACATAGGCGTCGGCATATTATTTTTCAGTGATAGTTTTTCAGTTACTTATTCTCACAATCATAGCAATTGATCACCCCATGAAAAAGTTATCTCAACTGATTTTTTCCACCATGGGTAACTATGAAAAACTTCGAAATTTAAGGTAGTTGATTTCCGAGTCGNATTTGCAGGTAGTGGTTCCACTAGTTAATTACCGAAAAATCAATTAGGATAATCATCATTTAACAAACAAAGTCCACATCGGACCAAAAAACTTTAGTTATATAAACAGCTAACCCTAGTCTTTAGATTCAGTATCATGGCTGTTTCGCCGTGGGAATAATTCAGTTTTTTTCTTGAAATACTCACGCTTGAAAAAAGGGTTAGCGGTACTATTTGAACTACTATGGACACCAAGTTGTAAGTAATAATCTACTTGACTTAGTCGCTGTAACACTCCTTCCAAATTGTCGGTATTAATCAGAGTACAAGCTACCTCGGCTGGAAAATGTCTTGCTATGCACCCAATTGCTTTTTTTTCAGACATAGGAGGTATTAAATATTTACATTTCGAAAAATTACTCAAAAAATACATGACATGTGATCCTGAATTCCTCCCATATCTTGATGTTTCTAATTCTAGTCTAACCCCGGCCTGAATGTCCTCATTCCAAAATTGATTAAAAAATGATCCCTTGAACGTAACCCAGCTGATAAGAGGGTGTTGTAATCGGCCCATATTTTAGCTTTCCCTTCAAATAAATTACCTATCCAAGGAGGAATAAGATCAAAAGGCACTTGGAAAAGGCTGATTGTTTGTTCCAGTTTCTGAATAAATTGAATAAATTAGTAACCACTGCTTAGATATTGCTCCTGAAATATACATGGTTACTGAGAAATAATCATTATCAATATTATAACTACTTTATAACTACTTTTGCTTAAAGCTTACCTGTTTACCTATAATTATCAGTTAGTAAATGAGTGTTATTTATACAGAATATATTCTGGAATAGTTTAAAGTATATACCATTTCAACTGAAGAAACTACTACGTAGTAAAAGGGTTCCTGAATAAAGGTCACATTGTGAAAGTTATTTAATTACTTTCATCATATCTTCAAAGAACTCTCCACAATAAGTTTCATCTTTTTTCAATACACGTGCCAAATTCACAAACTGTTTTCGAATTATGTCGATACACCTTAATCCTTGAATCCTTGAATTTTGTACATGAGTAAACATATATGTATTGATAGTTTCTCGTGTTTACTTCCGAATCGCTAAGATATTAAAAATAAGTTCCAAAAAGAGGAATTAAAGAAGGGGAAATGATCTTTATGAATTTTACTTTGAAATAATCTTCTAGTTTTTTAAGCTAATATAGTTTTGAAAATCTTGGCCATATCGCCAGTCTAATTGTTTTTTGAAATGAACATAAATAGTATTCGGAAACTCCCGACGCTATTTCTCACAAGGAATAGCACTACAAGCAGTTTCCAAACTCTGAGTACCAGAGTTGGTACATTCCAAGGCATATTCATAGATTATTCGAAGTATCTAACCAAACGATTGTTAGATTGCACCAAGGATGACCTATGTCATATAATAAAAACCCTATTAACAGGTTACTATCGTCTGAATCTTCATATTGACAGACTTGGACTGTCGGAAGACTTCTTTAAGAAGCTGGGGTTATTTAACCGGGTTTGAATAGGTGTGAACTACAATAAACCCTTGTGGGTTGCAATAGTCCCACTCACATTGGACCTACCTACGTGCTTGCTTGCTTATTTTATTATGACTCTGTTATCTACAGAGCAATTTGCCAGTCTTCTGGTAATCCTATCATTATCCATCCTGTGTCATTCAGGATATCTCATTCGAAGTGATACCATGAATGCCTTAGGAGCAAATCGATCGTATCACGTCGGGCAACAATACATAAATATGATTGCGATGCAATCATATTTATGTGTCGGCGCACATTCACACAATGAGACGAGAAATCGTGTACAAAATGAACTTTGCGCTACCCCGTCAATGAAAACGACCGCGAGACGTCCACATCCCTCTACGACGGAAGCGGAAGTCGACCCACCTACCACAAAACTAACGACATTGGTGTTTTCATTACCTGAAAAGAGCGGATACAATTATTTTATCAACTGGTAAAAGCAGGTAAAAACAGGTAAAAAATATCACGGATTAATTATTCTAGAGCGACAAAGCATGATTAATTTTTGAGGAGATACTGCGTAACTAAGAGCTAATCCACTCAATTTTATCGTTTAATTAGATATTGGAAATTTGTATATTCAGTGATTTCCACATTTTCCAGGAGGTCAAGCTTCTAACCTTTCTTCTGGAAATGTAGAATTTTTCAATTATCAAACTCATGTTCCTATGTTCTTTTATGCGTGCTTTAAAAGTTCTTTCAGTTTGACCTATCCAAAACATCGGACATAAACTACAAGACAATTCATACACTCCTAATCTGTCTGATACCAAACTCTTGACTTTGAGTAATTTTACAGAAAAACACTTTTTCCTATTCAGTTTGCACTCTAAACAACCCTTTTGAAATAAATCAGATATCAAAAGATTGCTACACAATATAGTATATGAAAGAGGTAAAATTCAACTTACATGGAACACTAACACCATCAATTGCGGACATCTATGTTTCGGAAGAAGATACTTGACATATTGCCTCTTCAATGCCAATATGGATAACATTACAAAATGATGCACTTGATTCATCCATGAAATTACGACTTTATGTCAAGAATGAGTTACGTCTATCCATGTCATCGATGACCTACGTAATGACATTCATTCGATTTGTAATGCACTTTGGTGTAGTAATGAGTAGTACTGGAGTTTTATCCCAACACCAAACCGTTATTTTAACAACTCGACATATAATGAATATACTCAATGTTTCAACTATTTTATAGACAATTGACTAATCATGCTAATCATCTAAGTTATAATTGAACGTCATATCTAGATTTTCAAGCCATTTTTATGAACTGCAATGGTATGATGTTTTGTGGCTTATCGATAAGTTCCTCAATTTTTCCACTTCATAAATTCCATCACCATTAATGACCTCAGCTATATCAATTATTTCAGGTACGCGACAGCTTTGGATTGGTTTCTACTGATGAGCTTCTTTTACTGCATAGCCACCATCCTGGAATTTGCTGGTGTTCATTATTTTACCAAAGTTGGAAGTGGAGAAATTCCTGTTGACGAGGACGATTGGGAGGACTGCAACGAACCTGAGGAGTTCATCGGCCCTTCCGAGGCCGATTTGTTGAACTTGGCCAACGTAGATGCTCGGACAAGAAGAAGAAGTTCTATTATCTGCCCTATCTTCAATGTGAGAGAATTCTTTACATTCCACAAGTCTTTCATAAACACAAAAAAGTCCCGTATCATTCATAATAGCAAATGAAACAGTCGTGCAATATCCATTTATGATTTCCATTCGCAATGAATAATTTTGAAAGGAAAGACAACTTTTTTTCAAAGAGTGATAACGCTGGATAATTGTTTATGCTCAATATAATGATAGTTCAATATAAAATTCATAACCTGCTAGGTCAGTTGAACATTAAACTCGTATCTATGTAGTTTTCCCAAACATACTTCTCGAAAGTTCCTAGTAAGAGCAAGAGAAAAAGTAATTTTGTGTATTTAAAAACATTCTATTTTGACTTAGGATTAAGCTAACATTAGTTCAATTAAATAATCCATTTTATAGGTGATACAGGGTACAGTCTAACCGTCGGTTAGGTTAGGTTACATTTTTTAAATGGAGCAACCTGTATTTCATGATATGAAAACCAGAGATGATTTTAACTGATTTTCATCAAACAGGTTTACTTGAAAAAATAAAACATGCGCATGTCCAGCATAAAACTACGGGCATACAAAACCTTCATTTTTAATAGTTAGGTACAGACCTTTTATAAGAGCTATTAATTTGCCGTCATGGTTTTCACCGAAGACAGTATTTTAGATGAATAAATAATGAATTAAAAATGATTATTTTAATCATTTCATAAAAGAGCGGGAATTCAAAAATATTGCATTGTCTTCTCACACAAATTATAAAAATCATTTCAAACTATGTTCGAAAACATTTCTTTCAACTTCTAGGCATTCATTAACTCTCTTCATCAAATTGTTATTTTTACAGCACGACTGATTTCATTCCTAATGATCTGTAAAGCGTGTTCACATTCCACTTGCTTAAGGTATCTCTTTTCCATTTTATTATCTATTAGGACATTTACACTAGTAATTTTCATTAGCACGTGATGCCTTATATGACATGTTGGGGAGACCGGGTATGGTTGTCTCACGGGTTGGTAGTCACAGCGGCCATATTGGAGAATTGAACGAACGAAAGAATTCATTGAACCAAATCGAAAGATCGCGAGACCAATATCTCCATCCTAACGTCACTTAAGTTCACTCTCATAATGTGTGAGGAAGATACGTACACTGGTTTTTTTTTCGGACGGCAAAAGTAAATTTTTGTTCATTTGTGTTGGGTCTCATAAATATACTAGAATTTTCCGTAGTACATATCATTTCGTGTATTTTTGATGTGACATATGTGGTTCATGATATCACTATCCCTTTTTATGAATGAATATCGATTCAGAGTTATTTCAGGGCGTTATATTTTGAAATGTCTCAACTTGACGGAGGCTGGTAGTCACATGTGACAACCAACACCATATATGTGTGCTGCATTTTTTGTTGGCTTATGAGCGTCTGCTACATACAATTTTGTTTGTTATGGGAAAAATCATATAAATGTAATGGCATCGTATGAGAAAGTCTGATCGACTAGTATTACACGCAGTGATACTGCGTGCTGCAAAAGAAGTGTTGTTAGGAGTAATTATTATCGCACTCTGACACGGTTTTGTAAAAAATTCACTGTCGAAGAGATAAGCAACATAGTGTTATAAATACCATCAACAAAAATTGGTTATCAAAGGTATAGGCAAATCTTCACCGACAAATAGAAGAAAAAAATTAGAAATATACATACTTATGGCTTCAAGGATATTCGAAAAAAATTTACCATAATTGTGATTTCGAATATTCACTGAATTTTAGACTGACTAAATATTATTTCGCTAGGATGGGTATCACAAGCATTGCGGCCTGATGGATATTTCTGGTATTTTAGTTACTAGAAGGAAGTTATTTATTTGGAGTAAATATGTTTTTTCCTACAAATGAGACACTTTTTTTCTCTTTTTGGATATATTATTCCACTTTCAATGAAAATATTCATATGAATGTTTTTTATACCCCTCAATTACCTATGTGACTACTTGCCCCCAGATATTGTGACAACCATCCCCAGCCCGGGGTTAAAAGTCACAATTTTTCTTTTCCATAAGAATTGTTATATTTCCTCTACGAATGATGTTGGAGAGCTTCAAGTGTGCTCGTTCCAAAATTGAAGGTCGACTCTTTCAGTTGTATTGCCAATTGCATATGCAGGAAATTGTCTGTGAAGATTCCTGCACTGACGCCTGTCGGATATAATCCAACGCCCTTCGTGGTATTAGCCAGGGGAGTAGTTGTTTTCTACTAGGCGTCAGTCCATTCAACCTACTGTGTAGGTATATTCGAGACTGCCTTGAACGTTTAAAGTTCATTTCTTTAGATAAATGAATCTGTTTCAAAAGAATATGAGAAAAATCATTTGCCTTTGTTATAGTCACATAGCTCATTTTGTGATCATATAATCTACAAAAAATAATGGTAACTGCTGACAATCATGACTAGTTTATGATGAAGTGACACTTATATTGAAACAATTCATAGTGCATTTCTTTAATGACCCTCTTTTTATTTTTCAACGGGTCAACTCAAAAAATTGAAATTTGGGATAATGAAAGAAATACATGAATACTTTATTTTGAAATGAACTTGACAGATGAAACTTCCAAAATGGCGACTGGATGCCATCTGGGAAAAAAAATGTAAATGGGAAAGGGAGTCTTGTAACATATCATTTTGAAGCTCCTGATGAATCTGTTTGAAAAAAATCTGTTTTTCCAATAATCAGCTGTCGCCCCCATACGAACAACATTTCTCAGAAGTTATAAACTTGTACGAGCTAAGGATTAACGAGGTCTTACCTTTTAACGTGTGATTCCTAACACGGTTGCAGAATCATTCCAGCTTCAACCAGATAAATTCTCTCGAGAAAAATATCTGATCGAGGCGGGAATCGAACCCACGGTCTTCCGATCATAAGTCGGGCGCAGTACCACCGCAGCCAATTCCACAACTTCATAACACTAGAATATGAAGTCAATATCTTCACCTACTACAAAATAGCAGAACATTTAATAATTGCCTAAATACATTGACATTATACTACATTGTTCAGTTAGAATATTCTCATTTAGTTTTCGGATTCACTGGTAGAAAGGTACCACGTCAACAATCTTTAAAATGGTCAATTCTGTACATTGGAAAAAAAAATTTTAGCGAATATTATTTACGGTACAATGCGTAAGTTTCACGAGACCGAAAATATTTTCAATGAATGTTTTCCGAATTGTTTTATTTGTAGAAAATTATTTGAAGGAATTTGTATCCAAATTCAGAACTACCGGTAGTGTACATAACGAAAAGATACCAGGTCATTCGTCCATTCCGGAAGAACAGCATGTGCAAAAATTGGTGAGAAGCACATACCCAATATCCAGAAAAATTCAACGTTTGAGCAGGAATATTAGGAACCATATTGTAGGACCTCTATTTATTTTTCAAAATTCAACAGGAGAACTGTATTTGAATATGCTGGAAACTACTGTTGAACCTCTCATCACTGCAATCGTCTAGGCGAATCCTAAGATGGAGCACCACCACGATACTCCAGACAAGTAAAAACTATCTAGATGCTACTTTTTCCGGTCGTTGGATTGGCCGTCCCGCTCGATTTGTTACGTTTGGAGTTTTTTTATGAGGTTATTTGAAGTGAAAGGTGTACGAAACTGAATTTGCTTCAATATTGGATATACGGCAGAGAATAATAAATATTTGTAGATATATTGACGTTACTGTGTTCGAAAATGTTCGGCGTGAAATATCGGATAGGCTGTTCATATGTCAAGAAGTTCAAGGCAACTATTTCGAGCATCTTCTGAACTGACCTCAAGCTTATTGCCTCATATTATGTAGTTAAATTTCAATGTATTCAGGAAACTATTAAAAGTTCCGCCATTTTGTAGTAGTCGAAGATATTTACATTATATTCTAGGGTTGTGGAACACTTGTCAGGAGCTTGAAAAAGATGTATCACAAGACCTCCCTTTCCATTTGATTTTTTTCCCAGATGGCGCCCAGTCGCCATCTTGAACGTTTCATCTGTCAATTTCACTTAAAAATAAAGTATTCATGCATTAATTTCATTATCCCAAATTTCAATTTTGTAAGTTGACCCGTTCAAAAACTAAAAGGAGGGAGGACATTAAAGAAAAGCACTGTATATTTGAGGCTGATGATATTATTCATTGCAAGATGATGTCGGTTATAAAAATTATGTCTTATTGTTCATATAATATTATATTCCGAACATATTTTATCGTAGTAAATATTAGAAATAAAATAAAATAATTCAAATTTTATTTCCAAGTTAGCAAGCTGAATTTTCAGCGATAGATGAACAATACTTATAGCGAGGTTGCGTTGAAAATGAAATTGTTGTGGTGCTCTGAAGTAACACGTTCTTCTACTTACGTACTTACGTGGTTCAAAAAACAGTTTTTACTATTATTTTACTATACTCGTACTTCTTTTCACAGAATAGTAGTTTACACTATGAAAGCAGAAAGACTTCATTATGTTCAACGACACAAGTTGTACCCCCTCCGGTACAAATACGTTTGACCATGGAAAGAACGACTCAAACTGAAAATAAATTGCAAAAATGGAAGCAGTTTCTTTACTGTCTCAAGGGGGATGACAAATTTAGGAGACAGAGACAAAGAGAGGCCGCCGCTGCAGCAAGTGGATTGGGTGGTATGTTGAAAAAATGGAAATGAATTCAGATAAATATAGTAGAATTCTGCCTTCTTATGGGAAGAATTTTTCATTCTAGACTGCCTTTTAGCGTCATATGGAAATGAACTAAACTGTCTAGTTAATCTCCTAATGTAGCCAATTTGGTTGGGGAAACATGCGTCGAGAAGAGTATTGCAGTTTTGGTGTTTGGGCAATACTCTACATGAAATTTATTTCAGTGTGACATGTTTCAACCTGCCCTGACCACCATTTGAAGCTATTCGAAGTGCAATAAATCTCATATGGTTAATAACAAATCAAACTCAATTTTCGATTGTGCAAAGTTGGCAGAACGTAATTGGTAGAACTTTTCAGTAAAAAAGCAATCCACCAATAGGGGGTTAATCAAAGAAATATCTACATTCTTCATTCTTAAGATTTATTTTTCTTTTGATTTATACGCATCAACAACTATGCCCATTATCCAAAAGAGTTTTTCAGTATGATTTACTTTTACATTAGTTGTATTTTCCTGTCGTACCCATACATATTGGTTATTTGCGAATAGAAAATCCTACCAACGATTTATGAAATTTTCAATATATCAACTCTTTGGCAGGATTTTTTTCAACAAAAAAACCGTTTTCAAGATACTTCGGAAAATAAGAAAATTATTTGGTCAATGAAGTCATCTGCCTTTATCCAACACACGGATGGAAAATTTTGCTGATTTGAAAAATGCATCACTGCCTCATTTATTAGACTTGTTCCCACCTCTACCTGCACTAACAAACTGGGAACGGTAGCTCTGTTACGCCAGCGACGCAAAGTTCGGAAATCGCATTTACAAAATGCCAAAATTAGGTACTTTTTAAATACCGAAGTCACCAATTAGGTGCTCTGTAACTTACACCGCAACCCAATACTCAAAGTTGCGTTGCTAGCAATATGTGATGCTAGCAACGCAATGAAAATAATAATAAAATAATGAATGTTAAGGAAACACTATTAGGTGCTAATTAAGTGCTAAACGGTGAGGATCGTAAAATTTTCTAATTAATAAACAAAAGCTTCCAATTTCGCTAAACAACAGATCTAATAATCAGGTCTCTCGAAAACGAGGATGAATGCTCAATAATAATAATAATATTTATTTATCCTTTGAGACGTTAACAACGTATAGGACATGTCAGTACAACACGTTGAAATAGTATAAAGAAAATAAACATACATAAAGATAAAATATCTCAGTAGTTTTAAAGTATAAAAATGTATAAAATATAAAAAAAACAAGATTAGTCAAAATTGGATGTATAATAAAATAATAAAATCTGGAGATGAAAGTCTGGACCGCAATCAGCTGAAGTCGTCTAAAAGGAATTCACTGACTACAGTGTCTTAGACAGGAGTAAATTTTTAACTTCTCTTTTAAATGACATCAAACTCATGGTTTTAAAGTGATCAGGTAGGTGATTGAATAATTTCATTCCCATATATTTGGGTGACTGTTCAAATTTAGAGGATCTGTGTCTAGGAATACTTAACAATTTTCCATTTCTGGTTGAGTAACTGTGGTAAGAAGACTTTGTGTTATGTTTTGTTAAATTATCGTGAATGTATAGTAAGCATTTAAATATGTAATTACAAGGGAATGGCAGGATTTGATATGATATGAAGTGCTGTTTGCACGATTCTCTCCATGGGATATCAAATAATTTTCTGATATTTTTTTTTTTTGGGAAATAAAAACCCTATCTTTGTTGGTGACATATCCCCAAAGAACCACATTGTAGCTCAAATGGCTGTAGACCAAGCTGTAATATACGTCCAGCAAGGCATGCAAGGGCATAAAATGTTTTACTCTGGAGAGAGCATAGTACGCTTGGTTAACTTTTTTACAAGTGACTGTAATGTGTTCAGACCATCTTAAGCAATCATCCACATAGACTCCTAGAAATTTTGTAAAATTCGTTGATACCAATTACATCCCTCTAATATCAAAGACAGTAGGATGTTTATCAAGATCGATGGAAGAACTAAAATGGATACATTTTGTTTTATTCAAGTTAACAATCAGATTGTTTAACTTGCACCAATCTAAGAAGTGTGTTATAAACCTTTCCGTTGATGACATTAATTCCTCTAGGCTGTGTGCTGACACCGCTAACGAGGTATCGTCAGCAAAGAGAGTGAGACTGTTGTTGTTGATGTTGAAGTATTTGGGTAGATCATTGACGAATAATAGAAAGATAAGCGGTCCCAGGACAGAGCCTTGAGGAACTCCTGAACTGATTGGTTGAGGATCAGATAGTGTATCTTTTATTTTTACCAACATTGTATGGTCTGAAAGAAAATGTTTGAGCCATTGCAAAAATACACCCCTAAATCCTAGATTGAAAAGTTTGGTTTAATTAAGGTCATAAGATAGACAGTCAAATATACGTGAGAGGTCAAAAAATATTCCTGCCCCGTGCAATCAGGTATAAACTAAGCGTGGTAATGAAGTGCTAATTATGTGCTTGCAAGAAATTAAGATGAAAACGACCGTGACTAAGCGGAAAAAAAATCGGGATATCTGATTTGAAAAAAAATCAATATATAAAGTCTTGAAATGCTCGTAATCATAGAAAATCAAAATCAAGTGCTAATTAAGTGCTCAGTAGATATTTATAGCAAACCTAGATTCCATAATTGCTATGGGGCTCATGGATCTGAAAACCACTATGACTGATGTAGTAAGTTTTTATAATATGTTTCTCAATTAATAATGGCAAGAGAATAAAGTGCTGATTAGATATTTATAGTGAACCTAGATTCCATAATTGCTATGGGGCTCATAGACATGAAAACCACCATGACTGATGTACTGAGTTTCTGTAGTACGTTCCTCAATAAATAATGAGAAGAGAATAAAGTGCAAATTAGGTGCTCATTAGATATTTGTAGTAAACCTAGATTCCATAATTGCTATGGGGCTCATGGACATGAAAACCACCATGACTGATGTACTGAGTTTCTATAGTACGTTCCTCAATGAATAAGGGCAAGAGAATAAAGTGCTAATTAGGTGCTCACTAGATAAATAATAGTACACCTAGATTCCATAATGCCAATTAGGTGCTCGTTAGATATTTATAGTTAATCTGGATTCCATAATTCCTATGGGGCTTATGGATCCGATAAAAACAATTTGATTTAACATAAGAAGTATGAGATTATCTCAAACAGACTAAAGAGATTTCGAATTTTTATTTTTTTTACTTCAGTAATAGCGAATATTCGTCCTCGCAAGTTCTCAGCTTCATACTTCTTCATCTGTTAAAGGATCAGAGCTTCTTTAATGAGAATTGAATTTCCGACAAGAATAGAAGCTTCAAAATTTGATTCAAAATCATTTTCGCAGGTCTACTGAAAGAAAACGGAAAAAAAATTCGTGTTATCTAGAAAGAAAATTATGAACCTATTGACCTCCATAAAGAATTGAGATATCGAGCTGCACTTCTGAAAGAAAATTTGTAACATTCTATAAAAAATTTCTAGACGGTATGCGAAAGACTTTTTATTGGATCACTTCATTCATATAGACGAACCAGTTAAAAGTGATCTTGCAAACGCCCGCTAATAAATAATAATATGTTTTCAAAATAAGAAAGTTATGACTTGCTTTCCAATTGTTTTTTGGAATAATGAGGATCAAAACGTTATTTTATTCAATTCTTGACATTTGCATAGAAATATATTATTTTACAGCTTTCTCAGACGTGCACTAACGAAATGAATTGGATACCAACCCAATAAAGAACATCAACCACGGAAATTTTGAGCGCGAAAGTCAATAGGCATTATAGAACTCAGGTGTTCCATGAATATCTAATGAGTACCTAATTAGCACTTTTTTCTCATGTCCTTATTTATTGAGGAACATACTGTAAGAACTCAGTCCATCAGGCATAGTGGTTTTCAGATCCATGAGCCCCATAGCAATTATGGAATCTAGGTTTGCTATAAATATCTACTGAGCACTTAATTAGCACTTGATTTTGATTTTCTATGATTACGAGCATTTCAAGACTTTATTATACATTGATATTTTTTTTTCTCCAATCAGGTATCCCGACTTTTTTTTCCGCTTATTCACGGTCGTTTTCATCTTAATTTCTTGCAAGCACCTAATTAGCACTTTATTACTTCGCTTGGTTTATACCTGATTGAGCATTCGTCCCCGTTTTCGAGAGACCTGATTCTTAGATCTGTTGTCTAGAGAAACTGGAAGCTTTTGTTTATTAATTACAAAATTTTACGATCCTCACCGTTTAGCTCTTAATTAGCACCTAATAGTGTTTCCTTAACATTCATTATTTTATTATTATTTTCATTGCGTTGCTAACATCACATATTGCTAGCAACGCAACTTTGAGTATTGAGTTGCGGTGTAATTTACAGAGCACCTAATGTTTGACTTCGGTACCTGAAAAGCACCTAAAAAGTAACTAATTTTGGCATTTTTTAAATGTGATTTCCATACTTTGCGTCGCTGGCGTAACAGAGCTGGGATCGGTATTATGAGCTTAACACAAAATTATCGTAAATTATAGTATTCTAGTATCCTAGAATACTATTGTTTACATTTGGATCATCTTCAGTCAATTGACACTTGTCAAAATGATAGAAAATACCAAAAAACTGATATCTGTTGGTGAAGTGGACTAACTATTATTTGATTAAGATAAACAAGAATTATTTGAAACGAAGAGTCTGTTAACACTTACTCAGAAACTAAAAATCGAGCAATACCATCAAGGATAAATCGCGGTCTACCCGTATTTCGGTAAATCTTTGTGCACATCTGCTGTCGAAGTTGAGAAAAAAATATGACAGTTCAGAATGTTTATTCTCCAGCAGCGATAGTATTTGACGTGCTTTTCCTAAACATCTTTGATTTTCTCGTGCTGTATTGCGGAGCTTTTTGCTTTAACGTTTATGAACTTTTAGACAAAATCTGCAACTCGACATCATCAATCGCGTTTCAATCTGAATTCTATAGTTTTTCAATCACTCTGTAATTGAAATAAAAAAATGAAAAATATACAAAGAATAGCTATTTCTATACAATCCATAGTGGGTCATCTAGAATTATCCGAAAGTAAAGTTACAGCACATGACATTTTATGCTATTTTCTGTACTCTAATTGGGATTTTTTCATAGGGAACCAACATGGCCATCACGTCAGACATATAAACAGCGTCTCACTAATTGACAGAACTGCTCGTGTGTTTTTTCCTGCTTCTTTTGGATTTTTCAATTTGTTCTACTGGATGTCATACTTCATGACACAAGAAAATTTCAAGTGGGGAGACACTAAGTTAGACGCTCTGAACCATTGAATGAAAAATCGATATATGATATACTTAGCCGTAATAAACAAACAGTTATTCCGTATCTAGTGTAATATTGAATATTCAATTTAGAAATATTAGTGTTCATTAATGTTTGCTTTGAAAATTGTTATCCTTCTCACATGTGATACATTTGCGACCCGATTTCCGAAAAACAAGAAACCAATACTGTCAAGAAAATTATTCAAGATTTCAAAAATTTTGGATCCGTACGAGCAAGTGTACAGAAAAATACAGCTTTTGAATGTAGGAAGAGCTTTCTGAATTCCGTTATAGTCCCGTCCATTTGATGTATGTCCGTTAGACAACCATGAGAGCGAGCGAGAGAGAGAGAGAGAGAGAGAGAGAGAGAATTCTCAGGTCTCTTCCTAGATTTCACAAGCTGTAAACAAGTAGTTAACAATGAAAATATCGAAATTGCAATTTTGGGATATTTTTGACATACCCAAGAATATCTAACAGACAAGTAGCAATAGAATCAGGAATATCTCAGGCATCAATACTAAGAATTTTACGAAACCACAGGTTTCCAGTGTGAACCGCGGTGGAGGTGTCTTATGCTGTATTGAAGCCAAATTCAAAACAGTACTTATCGCTAAGAGTATGAATACCGATTTTCAGTGGTTGTCTGTCAAAATCTCTATAAAAGATCTCGACATCACGATCTGTTGTATGTACATAACATCAGGAGCGAATTGAACGGTATATGAACAGTTTTCTGAATACCTGGAAAATTGTAATGAGCTCAACGCCACCAAAAAGTTGTTGTTAGTGGGTGACTTCAATGTCTCTGAAATAACTAATTCGAAATATTGAGAAACGGATCATCAAAAGCGAGATTNAAGAAGAACCTTGACCGAAATGTCATCCTTGGCGTGTGTCGATACCTGCAGGACTCCCCATATCTGCACTGTGAAGTTCGATGGAAGTAACACTCCACAGTCTTCATGCTGGGTCGTGGAAGATGGTTACCGCACACCAAAATGCCGCTGGATCTGAAGGTCGTTTCCAACATGCTTCTCGCAATTCTCCAGTCTAGCCTGTCGAGCTCAGAGGCTAATTTCGGGATTGCCAAGTCCACGAGATTCTGGTCGAGCATCGTATCCCTCAGTCTGGTAAGACTCCTCCAGACATCTCCATATGCCGGTTTGCCTCGAGAATGCTTTTTGGTCACCAAGTAGAAAACGTTCCTCTGACCCTTCTTCAACTGTAGCACTCCTCGTAATGTTTGGAGCTGACCGAATTTCTTGTTGAATACCACAGCGATACCTTTGGACATTTGGAGATCCTCTGCCACTGAGTGAGCTAGTGCGTAATCAACTGGAACCTTGAAAAGTTCTCGTGTCTCGTCTCGAGTTACCCCATGTACGACCTTATGTCCGTTCGAGTATAAGAACATGAATTTCTGGAACGTCATTTCATCCTCTGCTGGTCTGAGGGCGCGAACTTGGTCACGATGGCCAGCATAAGGAGTCAATCTATTAAGATGGACGACCCTAGGCTTTCCTCAAGGTGGCTTATGGATTCTGTAGACGAGGTCAATGATTTTTTTCATGATTTTGTACGGACTCTCCCACGAGTTCCGCAGCTTCGGTGATAAACCACGGCGTCGCTTAGGATTGTACAGCCAAACTAGGTCACCGATTTCGAATCCTCCAGCATTCGCCTTAATGTCATAGGCCTCCATCATCCTATCGCTGGCACTCCGGATATTCAGACGGACTAGTTCATGGATGTTGTCCATTCTCTGCCGAAGCTTGCTGACATAGTCTTCCCCCGCAGTGTCTTGTTCTGGCGGCGTCCCAAATTTCAGATCGCAAGAAAGCCGCAGCTCTCGGCCCATTATAATACTGCCAAGGGTTTGGCCGGTTGACTCGTTCCCTGCCGAACGATAAGCCAGCAGGAACAGGTGGAGATATTGGTCCCAGTCTCGTTGATGGTCAGAGACTACTTTGGACAAGTGGCGATTTATGGTCTTATTAATTCGTTCCACCATTCCATCGGACTGCGGATGTAAGGCTGTGGTTCTGGTCTTTAGAATGTCCAACAATTTACATATTTCTTGGAACAGGTTGGACTCAAAATTTCTGCCCTGGTCCGAATGCAGCTCCAATGGGACACCGAATCGACATATCCATTCCTTTACCAGGACGTCATCGACGGTAGATGCTTCCTGGTTGGGCAGGGCAGAGGCTTCTGCCCACTTGCTGAAGTAGTCCATGGCTACTAGGATGTATTTGTTCCCATGGTCTCACTCTGGGAACGGGCCGGCGATATCGATGGCGATTCTCTCAAATGGGCTACCTACGTTATACTTGCGCATTGGCGCTTTTGGTCGTGTCGGAGGTCCGTTACTGGCAGCGCATACAGAACACTTTCTGCACCAGTCCTTCTTCTGCTCGTCGGCAATGTGAGCAGTCATCGGGGCATGGTCTCCGTGACAGGGCATCGGCGTTTTTATGGCTAGTCCCAGCTCGATGTTCTATTTCGATGTCAAATTTTTTAAGTCTCTCAATTCAGCGTGCTACTTGGCCCTCGGGATTTTTGAACTGCAGAAGCCATTTGAGAGCTGCATGGTCCGTTCTCAACAGAAATCTTCTTCCATACACGTATTTGTAGAAATTTTCTACACCTTTGACAACGGCCAACAGCTCTCGCCTGGTGATACAATAATTGCGTTCTGGTTTACTGAACGTTTTGCTGAAGTAGCCAATAACTTTCTCCTGCAACAAATCGCACGTTGCTGGCGTCCGTATCTAAAATGAAATTTCTGTCAGGTAGGGGATAGGTCAAAACAGGAGCGTTGATCAAAGCTCTTTTTAACTTCTTGAATGAGTCTTGGCATTCCTCAGACCACTGGAACTGGATCTGCCCTTCTGTGAGACGGGTCAATGGTTTGGCGATGTTGGCAAACCCCAGCACATATCGGCAGTAGTAGGTGCATAAACCAAGGAAGCTCCGAACCTGATGTATGTCTTTTAGAATGGACCAATCCTTAACTGCTTTGATCTTTTGTTCGTCTACCGCCACTCCTTTCCCAGAGACAACGTGGCCAAGGTAACGAACTTCTTTCTGGAACAGATGACATTTCTTGGGACTAAGTTCCAATCCAGAACTCCTCAGACACATGAATACTTCCTCCAGATTTTTCAAGTGGTCGTCGAACAATTTTCCGACCACGATTATATCGTCGAGATACACTAGACACGTCTTCCACGAGAGCCCCTTGAGAACCGTTTCCATCAATCTATCGAAGGTCGCTGGAGCATTATAAAGCCCGAATGGCATAACCGTGAACTGCCACAATCCTGAGCCGATGGTGAAAGCAGTCTTTTCTCTATCTTCTGGGGCCAATTCAACTTGCCAATATCCACTCTTCAAATCCAAAGTCGAGAAAATCGTGGAGCCGGATAGTGTGTCTAGGGTGTCGTCGATTCTTGGAATCTTTCTTCGTCACGTGATTTAGTTGGCGATAATCCACGCAGAACCTTGTCAAGCCGTCCTTCTTCTTCACTAATACGACTGAGGAAGACCAGGGGCTGTCAGAAGGTTCGATGACTCCTTCTTTTTCCATATCGCTGACCATCTTGTCTGCCTCTTCTTGCTTCGCAAGCTTGAGTCTTCTAGCTGATTGCCGGATTGGTCGGGCATTCCCGGTGTCGATTTTATACTGAACCACATTCGTTATGCCGCCTTTTCTTTCTCCAATGTCGAAGATCCCCTGGTACTTCTTGACTAATTCCCTCAGTTTTGATCGGTGAGTTGGTGGTATGTCCTTGGAGGAAATGTCAATCAACTTCTCCACCTCTTTAGGCAAGTTGTTGGCTTGGCTAACAGAACAATGTCTGAATAATAGCAAATGGAATGATCTTTGTATAGATAACGATGACTTAGATTTGAGTTTTATTTGCTTAACAGAAACATGGTGCAATAAAAGTTCCATTGATTAATTTCAATTCAATGGTTTTATATTAAATAGCAGCTTCTGCAGAGTAACAATGAAAGGGGGAGGTGTCGCAATTTTATCAAAAAATATTCATAGTATAAAGAAAATCGAAATAGACAAGTATTGTAC